GAAATCATCTTTTCGTCTTTATATTAACAGATATTTGGGTCCTTAAGTACATTTTCGGAAAGGCGAACTTCAAATCTGGGATGCTTTGGTCTTCATCATTTCATTCAAAACAATTTCTTCTTGGCATAAGAGTATAATGGTTTCATCATTCAGAAGCGAATGATAAATTATGTATTTCATACTTACACCGATGATTCTTGGATTCGTACATATAGTATATCACTCATCTCTTTTATTAAAATTGGTTTTACGATTGTTTCAAATACAAGTACAGTAATGTATTATAAAAATGCCTAAAGTCTAATTAATGGATGAATGAAAACGAATCTTGACGTATTTATTTCACGATCCTTGACCAAATGACCAATCATGAAAACAGATATTTAACATCGACTATCACTCCTTTCTTTTAACAATTTAATGTACGTGCTAATGAATGTTAAGATGAATTAAGAAAACTATATGACTTAATATTGCTGGGATAGAAGTCGACTAAATTCTGATTAATAAATGATCAGAAACGAATCTTGACATTTTTATTTCCTTGACCAAACGACCAATCCTGTGACTGTTTAAAGCCAGGGGTCATCTCCTTTAAAATGTTCGGAATAATTCTTTACGATTGTTCATAAATCGAGGAGGAGCCAATATGCAAGTTGTAATCGGAAGAAATTTGGATAGCCAATGATCTCGCAGTTTCGGTTAACTGCATTTAAGCCTGGGGAGCCAGGCGCTCGCGCTCTTGAGGTTCTTTGGTCGCCGACCGCCGAGTGCATCACACCGGCTCGACGACATTAATTTTATTTTGATTCTCGTTCCACTTGATTGAGTTTGGTGGTTCCTTCGGTGATCTAATTATACTTGTCTTCTATCTTATTTTATATCTACTCTTTCCTTTCGTAGTTCCGGTCCATCGTTGGCTGGAACGATGTTCACCAAGGAATAGGAGAGGAAAAAGGGCCTCCAACCAAAAAATAAAAGAGAGGAGAAAGAAAATCGAAGACAGAACATCGAAGAGATGCGTGTTGCGTTAGTTTGTAAATGCGTTTCTAAATTTTACTCTATAACGAAGCGAATTTAACTTCATCCTCTCTTTCGTTTCAATCAACCAATCAATTTTGCTCGTGTCTTAGTATACCCGCGCCGCGAATAGTAGTTTACCAGCCAGATTTTGCTTGGGTACTGGAGGGAGAAAAGAGTTGGGGTCCTGTATCTGGGTGGCTTGCCTCGCCAGTCTTGGAGATCTTTCTGTTCCATTCTCATGTGCTGTGCAGAAATATTAATCTTCGGGTACGGTGCACCTTTGGTACACTCGTAATCAAGATCTCGTATATGCGATGAGACGGGTTGGCAGTAGTTAGAGTACTCCTGCGCAGGGGCATGGTCATTCTCGTGCAGGGTCCTGCTCGGCTCGAACTATGCTTACCTAAGTGAAATCTGGCATTTTGTGCTTACTTTACAATAGTTAGAGTATTGTTTAGAATATTGTAATC